TTTTTGAAAAAAAATGTTAACATTAATTAATTAATCAATTCAGAAATTATATTAATTAATAAAACCTAATCCTAATTTTTATGATGATTATTTATTTATTTTATGTTATGATAAAAAGATTAAAAGAAATAAAACAATTAAAATAAATAAATAAGGAAACAATGAACATGGACCTGATATGGAACAACAATGGGGGGTGCACATTTGAAAATCTATTAGGCCCATATATGCTGGCCCAAGATCCTGTGTGAATCCCAAGTTGCTGATTCATGAGGGTTCATCATGAGCTCTCAAGTCTGGAGCATTGGATCCTACATTGTAATGATCTAATGGTGATGATCTGATGACACATGGTATGCACGCCAGCCCCTGGAATACTGGATCTGCACAGAAATAAGTCAAAAAAATTATGCAAGAGGCAGGGATCGAACCCCTTCCCTTGCACACATGCAATGCCTTAAGCTTTTCGATTCTGCCACAGGGACGGCTTTACCTCCATTCGAATAAACAGAAAACACTTCCTGCAAAATAAACAAACATTAAAGGTTCAGGGGGACTTTACCCCCCTTTAAATCGAACCCCCTAATTTGATTCTAAGGTTTGTTTGGCCTGGACATCCTAGGCTTTGAGTTTTGAAGGAAATCTCAGATCGTGCCCTAACAATGGTACGATCTCATCCTTGCGCCTATACCTGCATGTATCTTGTTAAAGCTGCGCTAATGATGGTCCTGAACAGAAGTTAAATGATTAAAACAATAATATGTGACAAAAGTGTGTCTTCGATTTTACCATCCTTACCAATCAGAGATTTATGGATTTTGTGGCTTCAGGCATGGAAACACTTGCTTAGGGGCTGGTGTGGATTCCCGGATGTCTCAGGGACACGAATCTAGTATTCGTTTGGACTAAGGGTACCTACAAAACTAGTTTCAAACTATGAGATTTTTAGAATTTGATATGCTTTCTGAGGAAGCGTGTGCGTGTTGTCTCCTTTGACTTGTGTTGGTGTCTTGTATTTATAGGAGGTGGAGGAGACAAGAAAATGGGGAAAGAAACATGACCTTAAAGACCAGCCATTAAACATGGCTTTGAAAATAAAATCAGACAAATTTAAAGATTTCCATTTTGAGATTTTCATGCCATTTTGGAATTTTGAATGAACCTGGACAGGTGATTGATCGGGACTTTATGAGTCTATCGGGATACTAACTGCAAGTATACAGTTTAGTCGTTCTAGTTTTAAATGATTATCGAACCCACAGAGACTGAGGATCAATCGCATACGATCTAATATTACAAATGTTTAACTAAGCGATGAATATTTGGTTTTAGGGGGAAAAGGTTTTAATTAAAAGCAATAGTAATAGTTATACTGATATGTGATAGTCGGACTTCGGGAACTCGGTGAATCACTTGGCATATAAAGTATTCCGGTAAAAAAGAATTGTTTAAAAACCTGAGACATACACTCTCGTGTTCATGAAATAAGTTATGCTACTAAACCTAGTGGATGCACTTTAAATTTAATAACACTTTTTGAAAACAACTCGAGTTTAATTAATTTGTTAAAACACTCTCGTGTATTTAAAAATTAATGTTTCGTTACCACTATCTGGGTCGAACCCCAGCTATCGCATGCAGGTTCTTGCCTTAATTAATTTCTCACTCTCGTGGCAAAATCGTGTTAAATATCCTTTCACTCTCGTGACAAGGGTAGTTAAATTAAATATGAAAATTGGAAACCAGAAATTATTTATAAAAGATTTTAGTCAAGTTACCACCGAATTCCTTCGGTGCTTAAGAGTCACATACCGGTAGAAACAAAATTAGCCAGACATAATGTATTTAGCAAACATGCAACGTAAAATACAGTTCATGAAAATAATCAACATAGCATATAAACAACAAAGATCGAATTGCATAAAAAAAACCCTGTAATTTATATTGCCGTGGTAATCTTGAATTCGTACAGTAGCTTTTGCGATACAATTAATTGAAATATAGAACTAAGTGTGTGTTAATCCTTCGATGTGAAGAATTAACACTTTAGGGAACTGGAAAATTACAGAGGCTTGAAAGGAAAATGATGGTTCAAAAGCAAGAAAACAAAGTAAAGCAATGCAAAAAGAAATTACGGTTCTGAAACAAATTCTCCGACCCCTTCAAAGTGAAGTATTGAACATATATATAGGCTCTCTCTTGTAACTGTCATGTTCCATTATTTCAGTACGTGCGCTAAATTCTCAACTGATGGAATGAGGTCGTGTGGACTTCGTGTGGGCTGCTTCGTGGCTGACTGCATAAACTGAGTTTTTGAGTGTTACGTTCGTAATGGAATTCATTACGTTCGTAACAGCTAGGCCCTTTGTTACGTTCGTAACGCGTTACGTTACGTTCGTAACAGTGTGCGCTAGGCGTTACGTTCGTAACACTAAGTGTTGCGCTCGTAAAGTCATCTGGTGTGAGTTTCTTGGCAGAATGTCATTTTTCTTCTTTCTTCTTGTCATTTCTTAGCTTGTTTTGCTCCTTTTAGCTTATTTGCCATCTTATGCCTTGGAAAATATAATTTACCTGAAAACAAATAAAAATACCTTCATGATGCATATTATTCGATAAAAATGTACAAATAACTCGTGTAAATTAGGCCTTAAAAGCGATATGTTTTCGTGTTATCAGTGATGATTGGCGCCTTGTATGAACTCGAACTGCTCAGAGTTTTCCTTATATGAACGTCTTCGATCAGCCCCCAAGCATTATTCTCTTCGATGGCTGTGAGTTTTGATTCGAATTGCTCAGAACCTTCCTTATCAGAACTTCTTAGATTAAGTCAACTTCTGCATTGATTGCTTGATTTTGTTGATATGCTAATCAAAAGACATCTTGTTCTGATATGTCAATCGAAGGACACTTTGTTGACATGCCTTCGAGGTAAACCTTATTATGATATGCCAATCGAAGGACACTTTGTTAGCATGCCTTCGAAGTACACCTTATCCTTGCTCTTCGATTAGCCCAGAGTTACCTCCTTCAAATGGTTCCAATCCTCATCATTGGGGCTTTTTCGATTGAGCCCCTATTTTCCTTGGTAGCTTGATCTGAAACTTTTCAACTAACCCAGTCGAATCTTTCCTGGCCAGTCAAAGTTTCTTTTGTCATGAATGTGATTATGCATGAGGCTTGGGCCTGTCAGCATGTAGGGCCTTGGCCATCAAGCATCTTGAACCAAACTCATCAAAAAGAAAAACAAGCTTGTTTTCCACAATTACGTATCCTTCGAATGAACCACATGTATGTCCTTCGAAGGAACCATTTGTGTGTCCTTCGAATGGACCTTACTAGGTGTCAAAATATGGAAAACCGTGTGTTGAATATTTTAAAGGTGGAATTGAAGCAAGCCGTTTCAAAAGGAGCCACTGCCTAGTCGAACCTAGCACAAAGGAAGCCAATGCCTTGTGGATGCTAGCATGAGGGAGGCTATTGCTATTTGAATCGAAGGCCAGTTGAAAGGGTCTTGGCCTTGTGAATCAAAGACAAATTGAAGAAGGAGCCTTTACCTTGTGCGCTGAAGGCACGCACAAAGGGAGTATTTGCCTAGTGCGTTGAAGGCAATCATGAGGAGGGAGCCTTTGCCTTGTACACTAAAGGCACGCACAGAGGGAGTATTTGTCTAGTGCGCTGAAGGAAATCATGAAGCGTCCTTTGCCTAGTGGGCCGAAGGCAATCACGAAGAGGCCTTTGCCTAGTGGGTCGAAGGCAATCATGAAGAGGCCTTCGCCTAGACGAAGCTTGCATGTAGGAGGGCAACACTGGAATGAAACTTGTGGACCAAAGTTTGCTCGAAGGGTCTTTAGATGTCCAATCGAAACTTGTCTGCAGGGGACTACTACTTTGTAAATCGAAGTAGGCATGTAAGAAGTTCTTGCCTAGTGAATTAAAGGCAAGCATGAAGAAACCTTTGTCTCGTAAATCAAAACCAACCTGTAGGAGGCCATTGCTCAATCAAAGCAAGCGTATAGGAGGTTACTGTTGGTGAACCGAAGCAAACCTGTAAGGGACTACTGCTGGTGAATCGAATCAAACCTGGAGGGGGCCATTTTCCCAAATGAAACCTGTGGATCAAAGCTTGCTCGAAAGGGACCCAATGCTCAATCGAAACTAGTGGACCAAAGCTTGATCGAAGGGACCCAATGCCCAATCAAAGACTAGTGAGTCAAGCTTGCATTGAAGGATTTTATATGCCCCAATCGAAGTACCTTGTTAAGGTGCCAATCGAAAGACACTTGATCATCTTCAAAAGAAATTTATTTTCTTTAAGTGTTTGTAACCAACCATGCAAGGGAAAATCTTGGAAAACATGAGAAAGCAAATTTTAGGGTACAACATATTGCTTCTAAGTAACATCCTCAGAAGCCATTTTTTCTGACTAACAAATCCAGAAACATCTGACTCTAACAACAACTTCTGAATATAAATTATTTCTAACAGCTTGTCATTGTTGGCTCGTCTCCCACCAATATGATCATACTCGCCGTTGCCACCATTTACTTGTTGTCTCTGCTTCGTTGAAGGCCACACGAAAAAACAACCACACATAACAATGAAGATGAAAGAAAAAAATACATAATCATAAAGCCACGTGAAGAAGTGACATTGACACGACTTGAAAAGCTTCAATTTGGGCAGTGGGGCTTCGAACCACTACAGACATAATGGTAAATTCTCAAATTGTTTGCATACAAATGATGGAGACGGCGGCGACTTTAAAGGTCAAAGGAACATATAATATCTGTTTACATTTTGAGAATCATACAACACGTCAAGTTTGGTGAGGTGTGGTTGATGATTGCAACAATGGTACAACAAACTTGTAAGTCTGAGGAAGAAGATGAAATCTTCAAAAGGTGTAACCAAACATACACATGGCTAAGAAAGTACTACTAATTCGTAACAAGTTCAGATTACAGAATGTTCTGATTCTATGTCACACAACATTGACATGTTTAAATTGCACCTGCAAGATTCTTGTGGTTCATCCATGAGCCAATGGTTGACCTTATTTTATTCCATGTTGGTATCACTTTTTCCATGAGACAAAATGAATCATTTGCCTTTGCTTCTACTTCTCTAACAGTACTAGTAATGTATGATGTTTGGGAACAGCTTTTAGGTGCATCAGTGCCTTTATAAGCCTTACATATATAACTTATGAAGTATCTATAATCCTGCAGCAACAGCAAAATAAATTTGCAAATTCATGAGTTCAGGGACTTAAAAACTTCACATTTTATCATTTGCTTCGGACCTCCATATGTGTTGGGCCGGCTCTGATTAGAGGTATAACATTTCGAAAATTTAAAACCAGGTATAAGTTAAGCCGGATACTGAATTGCAAGACTTACATCGTAGAGTGGTTCTCCATCGACAACTACCCATGGAACGTAAGTGTGAGGAGGCTGTAGAGCATTTGTTTCATCTGCATGCTTTAGATGCAACTGCATAGATAGGTGATAATCGTAACTTGTGAGTAAGAAAAATCGGCCAACCGATGGTATATACAGACTCAAAAGCTCATCTGTCATATGACTCTGACTCGTCTTTATTTACCATCTAGATAGACTTTGTTATCATTTTGCATAGTGTGGTTAAATACTGAAAAGGGACTTTTCAAAATTATCATGAAGAAAGAGTAGTGTTAAGAAGCAATAAACAGGAAAGTCTATAACATATGCTTTTGTAGTTGCAGAAAAGAAGAACTTATCACCAATATCTCACTGATTTGGAATTAAGTTGGAAATCGAATCAAGAGGAAGTTCATTTATGCAGGCTTTAGAATTGGATTAAAAGTTACTTCATTAGCTAGGCATGATTAGCAGTAGACAAAACCTCATAATGCTAGATAAAAGCATTGTCACTAATAAAAGATTAACTGTGTGTGGATAACATTTCAACAATGATATAACATTTTGGCGAGAACATGGTTTTTCAAGGATAAAAACTAAACCAGAGAAAAAAACTAACCTCTTTTCCATGCTCACTTTGATAACAATCATTGACAGTTGATGAATCCAGCAGACCCAGTTTCTCATAACAAGATTCCCACTCTTTGCGCCTACCCTGATGCGCCAGATCCTCAACACAATAGATGAAAGGAAAATGCTTGTCCTGTAAAAAGGAAAGAACCTTATAAATAAAAGACTCATAACAATGAAAGCATTGGTACAAAGAACTATGAAGCACATACTCCAACAAAGACACAATAGCGGAAACTTGATAGCAGCGGCCCACCGGATCTTAAAAGAAGCTCATGATGTCATGTTAAAAAATGTGATTGAACCTAATTCATTATTTTAGACAGTCATCTAACTTTTCTGACACTTAAGTACATGTGTCATACAAGAGTGTCCGACACCATCCTCGGTCGGACACTGTGAGAAGTCTACTCTTAGATGTGTATGTGCATAGTATTGAACCAAAATAAAGATCAGATTAAGATACTAATTATCATAGTAATCCTAATCCTAATCCTAATTAAAAAGAGTTCCCTTCAATTCAAAAAGCAACATGCATGTTAAAAATTCGAGTTAATTTATCTCATACTTTTCTCTAATATTTCCAAAGGGACAAATAAATTATTACCGGTTGAGGCCAGGTATCAATAGCACACCCTTCAACCGTATCTAACAAGCACTCATCTTCACCATGCTGCAATTTTCACCAATCATTAATCACCAAACACAAACTAATCAATTAAATAACAAATCACATGCATAACTATAATCAAACAAGATTGAAAGTTACCTGACAAACAATAGTAGAGTTATCTCTGAGTTTAGCATTACCCCAAGGAACAAGTTTAAGGTCAACAATAGATAGAAGGTCCTCCTGTTCGAAGATTTGAGGAAGATAATTAACGATGAAATTGGCACAGTAAGGACACAGACTTTCATAGTACAATTCAAGAGAAACCTTGTTGTGAGACTGTGAGGGAGAGAAGAAAGAAGAGAAAGAAAGGAACAAGGTTAGAGAAAGAGACAAGGTGTTAGAAGAAACCATGGTTGTTGAATCTCAAAGTACTACTACTATGTTTATGTTTTTTATATTAGAGTATTGATTTTCTGTCATGACTTTGTCTATATTACGTATCAAGGAATTTGGTCCATATTAAGGGTATATACAGTTCGATATTTTTTGGGATCTACTTGGTTCACATGATGTGAAATTAAAATATAAAATTAACATGGAATAATATCTGTTTTAAAAAAAAAAACATGGAATAATATCTAAATATTGATAAAAGAATCCCTTTTTAATTTCTCCTATTAATAAATACTCTTTGGTTTTTATTCTAATAGAAAATCATTTTTTAATATATTAATTATTTAATTTAATAAATCTAAAATATAGTAATTATTTATCATAGTAATTGTGTAATTATTTACTAAGTATTCAATATCTATTTAAATTAAAAATGAGAATAGATAAGACCTACTAACATTGATTTATTATTTGATATATTTAAGTTTGGTGGACTTATTTGTTTAAAAAAAATTAGTGTTAGGCTTTTACAAAAATTCATTTATTAGCAATATATATGATTTCCCATGTATCAATAAAATAGTCTTCTTCAGTTCAACAAAGTAAGTTTGACAATTTATGATTGTTAATGTTCAATTTTGAAATTAGAAATAGTCGATGAAATAATGAAAAGGATTAAAATGCGGTGAAGTGTGTTTTTGATACGATAGATTGGGATAAACCTACAAGATTAGCATTTTAATGCTTAATTCACTAAAATATGGTGATGTGAGTAATGATTAGAACATACATGTGAATAAAGTGTGGTGAAGCTTATATATGGAATACAACTAAAAATGATTTTATCCCTCAGCGTGAGATGCGGGGAACCATTTTATCAAATATGATGACATGTGATCCTTGGGCGGGAAGGAATCAAGTGTTCGATCCTTTGGTGCAACTCTACCTGATCCTTAACTACTTCGTGTAAGTGTCTTTTGGGTTGGGCTGTAATGTAACCGGGCCTCCCATTTTTGGGCCTTCAGTCGAATCAGAACAATAGTCTCATATGGCTTCACTATTACTTAATAATGTGAGGGTAGAGATTGTCGGACCGTCTTCATTTACCGTCTTAGTCTTTAGGGTATTTGTATTTGTAGGTGTTTACAAATACTTTCTTGTTCTCATCGCGTGTATGGTTTTATTTCATCACTTATCTTCATGAAGGATGATTTTATTTTATCATTTCGTGTCTTAAATGATCTCCTAGTCGCCTAAGATAAAATAGCAGTGAAAATTAATAATATCGAAAATAAGAGTTTAAGGGAAAGAGAAAAGACACTAGGAACTATAGAGGTTATGCCGAAATGAAATGACCTAATCCTCTCCCCAAGATTTGTTCTTGAGAGTATCCAGTAAATTTTAAGAGTTTTTAGTAGGTTGTACTCTCGAACCCCTTATATAAGGAAAAGTAAAGTTTCTGACTAACTTTCAACCAAACAACAAACACTGGATAAAAGTGGTTAGTCTTCCATCCAAACAAAAAATTGAAGTGATTAGTCTTCTTTTCAAACACCAACATGAAGCGATTAGTCCCTAAGCTAAACCGATATTTTACACGGGCTTATCGCTACCAAGGTGATCTTTTATACCAGACTAAACTCACAAACCAAACTGAGGTTTTGATCAGGATGACCAGAAATAACTTAGATTTTACACTGGGATTATCTCGAACCTAAGCAAGATTTGAAATAAACATTTTTAATTTTAAAGTAGTTCTTACATGATTTTCAAGGATAAGTCACTTTAAACTTATTTAAAATATAATATAGTATTCAACGGTTTTTTATGATGTCTATATACTTTACTACTATATTTTTTATATAATATTAAATAATAAACTAATGACAAATAACACAATACTACACAAAAGAGATAAGAGAATTCAAACACAGTAAAATATTTTTATCTTATCTTGGACAAAATAGTGTAACAAGATCATTTCCTTACAATTTCTATATCATTTCAAACAATACTACCCCTTAATATTTTTATTCTATCTCTCTCAGCATTTCTATATCATTTCCTTACAATTTTTGTTAGCCTTCTCATGTTTTTCAGATGTACTTAGAGACATGATGACAAGATCACAAAGCACCATTGAGAACTGAAATTAAAATTAAAGAATCAAAGTATTTTTTTGGTCATAGTTAAGTGTTGAAAAGTCAATTTCATTTTTGTTTGAAAGAAATAAGCATGTAGCTATAGCTTAATACTATTAGAATACATATATATATATATATATATATATATATATATATATATATATATATATATATATATATATATATATATATATATATATATATATATATATATATATATATATATATATATATATATATATATATATATATATATATATATATATATATATATATATATATATATATATATATATATATATATATATATATATATATATATATATATATATATATATATATATATATATATATATATATATATATATATATATATATATATATATATATATATATATATATATATATATATATATATATAAACTATCAAATTTTAAATCAAAATCACTGGTTCTGAAATGTAAACAACCAGATTTTGTCCTTCTTTCTTCATCGTTCATTATCATTTTCCTTTATTTGTCGTTAAATATATTTTTTTTTTTCGTTTTTCTTTAACATATTCAACTGTATTTCAATTTGTATGTATATTTGATCCTTTATCTTGTAAAAGTGTTTATCTTGAACCTTCATCTTCAAGTGTTATGCTTTATTGATTTCAGAATTTTTTTCCTTAATCCACTTTTCATTGTTTTCTGTTACAGGTCATTAATTCTTCATCTATGAGGTATAACGAATCTATTTCATCAATGAGTTTTTTTTCTCTTAACCCCCTTTTTAGGATTTATCTGTTGTATTTATTCTATTGCACAATATTTATGGGGTTTTCCCATTAAAAAATGTCCATTTTTCCTTTTTCAGGTTCTCTTTTCAGAGGTTATCATTCTTCATCAAAGATTTCTTCGCTTTTTATCTTTATTAATTTTATTTTTATTTATTTGTAGAGGTGGAAAAGAAAATTTTAGGATTTTGATAGAACATTTTGGTGTTTCGCTCTCTTTAATATTTGTGTATTTTTTTCCTTTCTATTTTAGAGATGATTCTAATATTTAAGCCTTATTGATTCCCATTTTTTAAATATGTCAGTAAGAAAAGGGTGATTGATACACTAAAAGAAATAAAATCATGCAAAATCTTTTAAAATATATTTTGATTTCTCCTTTGTTACCTACATTTTATCTCTCAATGATTCAAATCTATCATTACTCTACACATCTTTTTTTCTTTATTTTTTCTCTGGTTCTATTTTTTGTTATTTTTGTGTATATGCCTTTTAAGGCTTAACATTCCAAGTAATACAAATTAAGTTTTGCCTGTTATCACTTTCAATGTCATTGCTTGAAACAAGCTTAATATGCAAGTATGATTTCAAAGACCACTATTTTGTTCTATCTTTCTCAATATTTCTATATCATTTCCTTATCATTTTTACTAGCCTTCTTATGTTTTTCAGATGTACTCAGAGACATGATGACAAGATCACAAAGCACCATTAAAAACTGAAATTAAAATCAAAGAATCAAAGCATTTTTTTGGGTCATAGTTAAGTGTTGGAACGTCAATTTCATTTTTGTTTGAAATAAATAAGCATGTAGCTATAACTTAATACTAATAAAATATATAGTATATATATATATATATATATATATATATATATATATATATATATATATATATATATATATATATATATATTATATATATATATATATATATATATATATATATATATATATATATATATATATATAAACCACAAATTTGAAATCAAAATCACTGGTTCTGAAATCTAAACCACCAGATTTTGTCCTTCTTTCTTCATCGTTCTTTATCATTTTTCTTTATTTGTCGTTAAAAATAACTTTTTTCCATTTTTGTTTAACATGTTCAACTGTATTTTGATTTGTATGTATATTTGATCCTTCATCTTGTAAAAGTGTTTATCTTGAACCTTCATTATCAAGTGTTATGCTTTATTGATTTCTGAATATTTTCCCTTAATCTACTTTTCATTGTTTTTTGTTATAGGTAATTTGTTCTTCATCAATGAGGTATAACGATTCTATTTCATCAATGAGTTTTTTCCCTTAACCCCTTTTTCAGGATTTATCTATTCTATTTATTCTATTGCACGTTATTTATGGGGTTTCCCATTAAAAAATATCCATTTTTTCTTTTTCAGGTTTTCTTTTCAGAGGTTATCATTCTTCATCAAGGATTTCTTCCCTTATTATCTTTATTGATTTTATTTTTATTTATTTGTAGAGATGGAGAAGAATATTTTAGGATTTTGGTGTTTCGCTCTCTTTAATATTTGTGTATTTTTTTCCTTTCTATTTTAGAGATGATTCTAATGTTTTAAGCCTTCTTGATTCTCATTTTTTAAATATGTCAGTAAGAAAAGGGGGATTGATACACTAAAAAAAAGAAAATCTTGCAAAATCTTTTAAAATATATTTTCATAACCACTCCTTTTAATTTCTCCTTTGTAAAATTCAAATTACCTACATTTTATCTCTCAATGATTCAAATCTATCATTATTCTACACATATTTTTTTCTTTATTTTTTCTGATTATACTTTTTTATTATTTTTGTGTATATGCCTTTTATGGCTTCACATTGCTGGTAACACAAATTAAGTTTTGTCTATTATCACTTTCAATATCATTGTAGGAAACAAGCTTAATATGCAAGTATCATTTCAAAGACCATCTTTTATTCTATCTCCCTCAACATTTCTATATCATTTCCTTACAATTTTTGTTAGCCTTCTTATGTTTTTCAAATGTACTTACAGACATGATGACAAAATCACAAAATTGGTGCTTTGTTAAGTGGTGCTTTGTGATCTTGTCATCATGTCTGTAAGTACATC